ATCTTGGAAACAACCTAAGTGTCCATCAACTGAGTAATGGATAAAAAAGTTGTGGTATTTGTATACAATGGAGTACTACTCAGCTCTAAAGAATGATCACATTGAAACATTTATAAATAAATGGACACAACTTGAGACTATACTCATAAGTGAATTAAATCAAACTCACATGTATAAATACCGATTAGTTTCACTAATGTAAGTAATGATTCAAATATATAAAAATATGTGGTAATCATGATTCCCCATTATATGGCCTTGAAACCTCATAAAGTTTTCACTTATTATTTGGCAAGGCTTTATTCTGGGCTTCTTGATATGGAAATATTTGAAGCTATAGTATATGAAGTTTTATCCAAATATTTCAAGGAAAAAGACAGACACTATGGTAACAACTATTAAGTCGGGTTATTTGGTGGTGAAGCACTAGATTGCTGAAACAGTCATGCTTTGACCTGTATTGTTATACTGTTATGTCCTGTTTTATCTCAATCTCTCCCTTATTCTTTAAGAAAATTATTTAGTTATTTCTTATGTTTGTTTTAATTAAGGGGGAAAATTTTTAAAAAATAGCAGGATATATAATAGTAACTCTGTTTGATTTCCTATTAACTTGTTTTGAAGTCCTGTAATACTCCCACAATCTTGTTTTGACTGATTAGACACAGTTCCATTCTGTATGATAGTATCAAGTTTGAGGGTATAGGCAACTACTTTGAAGGCAATAAGATTCACTAAGATGCCCATTCTGATTTGACTATTGTCTCCTTTGGAAGTCTTGTAATGTTTACAATGCCTACGTTTTATTGTTCTTGTTCTCTACTGTTTTGTCCAACTTTATAATATCTAATGAGATAGACAATTCTTTTTAAGGAAACAAGAGACATCGTTGATAACCATTGTTGATAACCTTGTACTCTGTTTTACATCATGTGTTATGTCTATCCTTGGTTTTGACTGACAGCTTTGTCTTGCCATATTTGACTTTATTCTCTCCCCCCAAAAAAGTAATAAGAACTAAGGAGTAATAAAATCCAAAATGTGTAAATTTGTTGTAAAAAAAAAAAAAAGAGGGGAAAACAGAGCTCTAATGGATATAACAGCAACTGTGTTTAGGGGTGTTAAATAGCTGACTATATTAATGTTTTTGGGTCATTGAACACAGCTGTTTGCAGTCTCTCTGTCTGAATGTCCACTTTGTATTCTTTGATACTGTGATTTGAGCAACTATTTCTAAGATGATAATATGTAAACTATTAACAAGTGATTTATTACTGTTTTTTTTTTGTAGTTCTGTATTACATGTACCCTTACACCGCTTTGTTTTGTGTTGTGTTTTTCTCATTTTCCTTTTAAATAAAATTTTTAAAAAATGAAAGAATTAAAATAAGTCTTCTGTAATAAAATCACCATAGTACTGGAATAAAAACAGACCTGAAGTTCATTGGAACAGATTAGAAGATATAGCTACAGGTAGGAACACACCCAGCCACCTTATCTTTAATAAAGGGACCAAACGCTTCACTGGAAGAAAGATAGTCTCTTTAATAAATGGCACTGGAAAAATCGGCTCTCCATTTATAGATGCAGTTGGCCCTTGGCACAGTCTCTAGAAATGGTTAATCAGCCCTTCACAGGGTGGCACCATGTGTGCCGTCACCACAGTGAGTGCTTGTAGCCACTTCCGTGGATTGGTTAGGCCCAGTTCATCCAACAGTCATGGAAGGTGCATCCAGATGCTGCACAGGAGAGTCTCAGGGATGGTCCCAGCTGCACCATGCCTGCCCTCGTGGACTGTACCAGCTTTCCTCACACTAGACACCTAAGTACACAGAAATACTTTGATTTTTATGCTGTATATTTGTAGTCAATCAAAGCAGCGAGACCGTAGATGGCTCGGCAAGTCATGTAGGGACCTCATGAAGTTGTGGCAGGAACTCAGATGGTCAGCAAGTAGCCTGCTTAATTTCTTCTTGGGACAAGAGAAATCCTCTCCCTCAGTTCAGGGTTCTGCACGCTGTATTATGTTGAATTCTAAGTTGACTATCTCAGGGAGCCTCAGTAGCCAGTTGTTATCTATCCACCATCTTTGCTCCTCCCACTGGGGTCTTAATTGTTGTTCTTTAGTCAGGGATACTCTGCACAGCTTCAGTCTAATGACCTCAATAGATACCAGGCATTTTTGTATTGGTTACATGTACAATAAGGATTACAAACATTTGTGAATTTGTGGGCCAGATGAAAGAACTATTAGTATAATTATGAGTGCAATTAACAAAGATTTTTATGAGGAGAAACTAGCAATGGCTGTATAAAGAGCAAGGAATTTTAGAACTTAACATGCCATTGATTGGTCATCTAATATCTTGAATAGTTATTGACATGTTAGAAGAAGGATCAGGAATGTACACATTTAGTTTTTTAAATTGCATAAGTAACTCCCAAGCTGTTAGAATCCCTTATATCATCTGAGTTTTTGGGATATCTTTTTATTAATTTTACCATTTTTATTTAGGATTGACCACCTCTTATGTCATTTAAGGTCCACTGGGTATAGTTAGTTAAGGACTCAATATGCATCCTTTACCCTTTTCTCCAGACAAGACCTGGTGGATCTCAGCAAAAAGAACCTAAAAGGAATCTAGCATATTTGTTACTGGTTCCATCTGTATTGTGCCTCAGAGTTTGGCATCCTTTAGACAAGAACTAAATTTAATCAAAGCATTATAATCAGAGTATGTGTACAAAGGCATGCATAATCAAAACATGAGCATTAGAGCTAACAGGAGAGTTAAAGAACTGTTTCTAAGGAAATCCATCTTGCAGGGTCCAGTGGGCTGTCTCCTGAGTGTTGGTCAGTAGTTGTGATGTGAATGTTGTGTATTCTGGCCACATTGAGCTCAAAATATTGTAACTCCAAGCATTGAGTATTGCTATCCAAATATTGCAGTTCCTTTTCCAGTTTGGCTCACAATGCAAAAAGTTATATTTGTAATCCCATTGAGACACTATTGGAATCCTGGCAAGTAAGTTCCATCTACCACCTCCAAAGCAACCCAGGGTAAGAGTAAAGACACAGAGACATGTTCAAAGTTAAGGACACCCAAGGGGTCATAAATATAGTCCCCATGAGGCTGTGTGGACAAGGGCCTTGATCCCAGGCCTGTCCTAGAATTTATTATCTTGTGAAGAAGGGGGTGGCTGAGTGAGTGAGAGTGAAGATGAAGAGAACTACATGAGTAACTTGACCTGGCTATCCAGGTAGGGAGAAGAGCATTTCTACAAAATGCAGGGAGTGTGACACACAGAAGGATTAGTCTGCATAATTCAATTAAGGTAGCAATTGAATTGTTTTTCGAGGCTGTTGCTTTAGTTTCTAATCTGTAAACTTGTGCCATGGGACTCAGCGCCTCTTTATTTCCAGGATCAGCCTCAGTTGCCATTCCTGGAGCTGACTGGCTCTGCAATCCCGCTGTGCTCATATCTTTTACAGAAAGCACTATGCGAGGGAACAGGGGGCTGTCTGATGGCTCAAGAGATTACATACCAGTACCTCAGCTAGCTTTACTTGCAATGCTTAGAGCCAAGAGAAGAGAGAAGGAAATGCTATAGTCAGATCTGCACACATCAGTATATGGAAATATGCCTCAATATAATCAATGTTGCAGCAATTGTACTGAACTCAAGGAGAGTCGCTCAAATTGTGTCCTAAAAATCTAAAGACAAATTTTAGACATTTCAAAGATCTCCATGAAAATGGAATTTAGGATGTTCAATAGTTCAGACTCAGCTACATTTCAGTAGACGGCATGTCCTAGAATATGTTCTCATCCAAGACTGAAAAAAACAGATACTCGTGGAATACCATGAGAATCAGGAAGAGCACAGTGGTGATGACAGTGGGCCATGTGATTTGCAGATCTGGCTGAGGAGGGGGAGGTGTTTGTTTTCCCAGAATGACAGTGACCATGATTTCCAGGGTCACATCTGTGACATCTATGTGTGAAGACATCACCTCAGCTCTGCTTCAAGAAGAGTGCATATGTGCAGATTGTGTATTTCAAACCATTTTCTACTGAACTCAGTGTACATTTGCTTCACAGTGTACCATGATAAAAATAATATCAATAAGAATAAACTTATATATGGCTATTTTATATAAAATTTCTTTAAATGTATGTAACTAATGAATACAGAATGAAAAGACAAAATAAAATTTATAAAGAAAATTAGAGACTATTTTGAAAAGGAAAATGAATATTATGAGACAGGAGCATTTTATCTTGAATATTATCTTAATACACTGATGCATTGCTTGGAACCTGTGCATTTGTATTTGAGAAAAGAGAGGGAGAGACAGAAAGAGAAAGAGAGAGACTAAAGAAAAAGCATGGAAAATACAATTTGATAAATTCTCAATTTCAAAGCTACATAAATAAATTCCAAACAGTTAACATGAACAGACGGAGCTCAGGAAGGACCCTGCCCACTGTACTGAGTCAAGTCCAGGTGTCCCTCTTCCTCTTTCCCTGAGCCCAGAACTCCTCATGGGACTGAGCTAAGCCTGAGGACCAGGCATCCTGAGGTGCCAAGGAGAGGAGAGAGCTGCTAAGTCTTAGAACCTGTGCAGAGGGATGGGGATAATTTAATTTTCTAACCTGAAACATTTACTCCTGAAACAAACAATTGCTCTTTATGAGGAGAAAACTAAGAATATCATTCTTAGAAAATGATGATGTGACATTCAAAAGAAACTTAACTTCTCAAAATGTACTTTTAATTTTATCACCCTTTTTAGAAAGATCGTATAAAAGAAACCAAGAAAATAATACGTATAAATAAGAAAAACTGTACTTGTATCTTGTATACTTCCTAAGTCATCTGAACCCTGGGTTTATCTGCTCTCTTCCTGTGATGGGAAGACAGAGAGGAAACGCAACAGGCCTGCAGAAAACCATCAGTTCCTGCTCTGCACCTGCTCCTGGGGCCCTGGGCTGGCCTCATTCAATGGATCTCCATCGCCCCCTGCTCCTCATGAGCGCCCTTGCGGGAAGTTTTGTGTCTCTTGGACAGTAATACACGGCCATGTTCTCAGGTGACAAGCTGCTCATTTGCAGACACAGCGTGTTCTTAACTTTATCGCTGGAGATGGTGAATCTTCCCTTCATGGGTGCGTAGTAGGTGCTAGCACCACCGTCACTGGTAGTTGAGGTCCACTCCAGGCCCTTCACCAGAGCCTGGAGGATCCAGTGCATTTAATTACTGAAGGTGAATCCTGAAGGCATACAGGAGAGTCTCAAGCACCCTCAAGGCTGCACCAAGTCTCTTACGAACTCCACCAGCTGGTCCTCACACAGGACACCTGCAAAGATAGAGATATTCTGCTCAGGAAACTGTCACAGGGGTCCATTGTGTAACTCACACATTTCCAATTATGTCCTCAGCATTTTTTGTTGTAAATAACTTACCTTTTAATATTGGAAACAGGAAAACCCAGCTCAACTCCAGCTCCATGGTGAGCCATAGGCTCAGTCCTGGTCACTGAGTGGGATCAGCCAGGCACCAGGGCTGGGGTCCTCTGCAGAGCTGCAAGGTGAGGGCTAGGCTGGTTTTCATCAGCATAGGGAGCCCCTATTTGCGTGGCCTCCTGCTATATAGTCAGTTCTGTTAAGGAAGTGTCAGTGAGGGAATCACATGCGAGTGAATTGAGAGGTGTTTGGATTATCCCTAGTACTATATGTTGAACACATGGTCTCTTTCTATGTGTCTGTGAAATGACAAACAGATGACATCATCAGTTTTACTTCTATATGTAATTAATTGATTTGGTAATTTCATTTATTTGTAGCTGTGAACATAGTGTGACAAGAATAATGACTTATGAGATGTGAGGCACATTTATAAAATTTCTCATGCCCATCCTATGATCCTTGGAACAGTTCTCAAATCTGACAGAGCAGTTCTGAGACAGCATGGTCATGCTTCATGACATTTGCCAAAGGTCTTCTTCTACTTTGAGAATATGACAGGATTTTTCTCAATTGCATTATATTCACAAATGAGAAGACCAGCAGTATCTTTGGAAACAAATGTTCAAGAATCTGGCATCTCATTGTCTTATCTCGCATTAAATGTTCCACAGTAAATTACCTATTACAAGTAGATGCATTAATATTAATGATGGATAAATGAGATGCATTTTGACATAAACATACAACTTGATAATGCTAACATAATCAGGTCCATTGTCAAGATATGCAATGGATCAGTATGCCTAAATTCTCCTGATGTATTCCATAATGTCTGCTCCTTCATTAAAGATTTTCCTAAACTGAAATATTTGTTACAGCATAAGACTGTCCATTGTCTACATGACAAAATTAGTTAATTTTCTATGATGATGATCATGAGCATCTTGTATTCCACAGCATGTGTATTCCTAAGGTTCTCATTCTACTTTTCAGTGTATTTAAGTTCTTAGTGCCATCACACAGGAATTCATATGAAGCAGATGAAAAATGCAGATGTAAATGTAATCTCTCACTACCAGGTTCCTTTCATTACTTGGGCTCTGGAGAATTCTTATGTGAGGTGGAGAGGATGCACTGTGGGCCCTCCGCAGTGTGTGTGATGGTCTGACAGAGAGGACATTCGGACACGAAAAGGAAGCCCTCAGTCCTTAACCTCCTTCTCTGCACATCTTTCTGGGGCAACTCCTGAATATCAGGAGATCCCAGCTCTTTCACTAGTCCAGAACCTTCCCACCTGGTCGTATGTGTTCACTCCTGATCTCAGGCAGCCCCCACTTCTTGGTGTTGAGCACCTGCAGTTGATCCTGAGAGCCCCCTACTATTCCATGCTACTTTGTACATACCTTTAGGTCTGGGAACCCGCTTATCTCCCCTAAAACCATCTTTCACAGTAGAGCATGGTGGTGTTTCTCATGGACACTGATGTCAGTTTCAAAGAGAACCAGTAATTGGCTGTGTCTTTAGACATGCTGAGTTGCCAAGGATGAATTACAAGCTGTGTTTCTGCTATCAACTATCTTGACACATTCACTAGGTTTCCTTCCTGGTGGCTGAAGCATCCAGCTGCAGTGGCAGCATCCCAGAGCTGGAGAAACCAGATAAAGTACTGGGAGAAAGGGACTGTGAGTGTTTCACTAGGCCAGATCAGGTCTCTTGCAGCATCAGCAAGAGATAGGAATGTGGGAGAACACAGTGAGTCCTGAAATCAGATGCAGCATCACCACGTCATCCTGTCTAAATTTTTCAGAGCACATATCTTGTAGCTAGCACCAGAAAAAGAAAAAAACAGAATTTTTTCATGTTTCCAAAGAGTAAATTTGCAAATTTCTGAGGATCTTTTAAATGCTGAGATACAAAAGAAATTAAGTCAGTGTACAATACAAGTTTATCTTTTGGCTCCCAAAACATTTGCCTGTGTAGTGCATTCTTATACATGAAGTGACACGGAGACAGAGAATGTGCACACTTGGGGGACAGCCTCTGTGTGAAAGATGCTGACTGAGCCCTCAAAGAAATCAATGATGTCCCTGAGGTCCATTGCCCCAGGCCCAATCCCCCTACTCCATAAAGGACATGTAATGGAAGTGGTGGTCAGGGAGCTACGTATGCTTAAAGATGAAGGATGGCTTTGTGGATATGAAAATTAGAACACAGGTCCCAGGGATAACAGGACTGTGAGGTTCATAGAGCAAGTGTGCATAGGTGCATGTGCATAACACACAAACTCATTTCACATTCTATGTGCATATATGCCCACCAGTTTTCAGGTCCTGGCTTATATCCATGGTCATTTTACATTCTGTATTTGCTCATACCATCATTACCATATTCCAGGATTTGGAAGCCCTCAGCTAAATTCTGTCATCTCATGGAATTTGGAAAATATATATCAGACACAAAAGTTCTCATAAATTGTTTAGCCTATTAGAGTTATCTGATTATATTTCTCTTTGTGCATGGGAGATGTACTCATAATAATGTATTTTCATGGTTTTATGTTAAGATACATTTATTTTCACCTCAAAGTTCCTTACTTTTTTCTACCTTTTGTCAGGGCTGAGAATTCCTGAGTGAGTCATGATGGAGATCTGAGCCCAGCTCCATCCCTCCTCACTGGGAGACCCTGAGCATGGGGACTGTGCATTCTGACCTTCAGTGTAAAGAGGCATAAATGCGATGCAGAGATCACTCTGGATGTGACCTCTTCAGCAGGGAGTCACAGTATCCAGTATCATCTCCACTGCCACGAGAGCCATTTGTCTACTTTGGACACAGAATAGGCCTCAGGAGCCCACAACTGTGACACCAGAAGATGCCTTCTCTGCTGTGCTAATGAGCCACACGTGTCTGGGACAAGTCTCTGCCTGGGCTATTCATGGACTGCTGTGTATCCATTATCCTGAAAATATCTTTCATTCCTAGCTTCTCATTAAGAGAGACTTTAACCCCGCATATTAAAATTGGTTCACATTACTTTTTATTTTAAATTTTTGTTTTTATTGGCACATATTTGATGCACATACTGATTGCCTTCATCATGGGTAGTTAAAATGTGTGCACAACACACTTCGGTGTTTTATTCCCTTTTCCTGCCCTCCAAAAATCTAATAATAATAATAATTACCACCTGATGGCAGGTAAAACTTATTTCAACATTAGTAAGGATGAATAGATTAAGAAAGTGCACAGGGACCTACAGTGTAATAGTGTACAGTGTAATAGTGTAATAGGCAGAGCTATCCTGACTGTGTGGGACAACAGCTGAACACTGACATCCAGCAGTACTCCAATATATAAACATAAGGGTGGGGCTGTAGCTCACTGGTAGACTGCTTTCCTTTCCTTTGTGTGGCCCTGGTTCCTGGCGCCATAAAAATAAATACACAAGAAAATTCAGTTTGGTTTAACTTGCTTAATGGATTCGATAATAGGTAATTAAGTGTTTAAAGTTTCAACTTACAGCAAGAAATGTTACATGTAATCTTGCAAATGTAAGTAAATGAGAAAGAGTGGATCTCATATTTTTTAAACAAAGAGAAGAGCAAAACAACAAAACTGAACCAACTGCAAATTAATTAAGTTTCTAGACTCTATCAAACAATTGAAGTTAAAAGCAAATAAAAATTTGAAATCTAGAGCTGGAGCGTCTATGTCCTAAAAAAAGAGATGAGCTTCAACAGCCTAGGAAAGAGGTCACACTGTAATATGTCACTAGGAAATTAAACTGGAAGCAGTTTCTAGGTTTTCTGCAACTCTGTCCTTCTTTCACCTGCCTTCACTCTGGAACTGTGCTGGGAGTGTACACTGAAGCTCATTTTTACTGTAAAGTAACAGGCGAAATGAGTTTCAGAATCTTCACACAGCTTACATTTTCTGAGGAATAAGTAAGACATAATGATGCTTACTATCCTCACTACTGCTTAATTTTGCCTTTTTTTCTTTCACCCACTGAACCATGTGGGAGCTTTTAGTTAAACATGTTTGTTATTATAATTTGCTGCATATGTACAGATTAGTGGGCTTCATTTTGCATCTTTAAATGTACATAAACATACTTAGATTAAATTTATCCTCTTTCTCTGTTGAATTTCCCACTTCTCTGTGATTTTCACCCTTCTTTTAAGCTGCCTTCTTTTATGTGATCAATTTTTTTATTATTGGTACCAGGGATTGATCTCACAATTGTGCACTTGCAAGGAAGGCGCCTATGCCACTGAGCTAAATCCCCAGACCCATGTAATCACTTTTGATTATGTTAATTTTCTTGATGATAACTTTGATTATCTGAAGACTATGTTGAGATTTTTCACTCATTTGTAGCTTTATTTTGTAGAATATTTAATATTCTCTATATACTTTGAAGAAATTCATCTCTCACAAATGCATGTTGTGAATGTTTTCTATTAGTCTGGGATCTGGTTGAATATTGTGTTTGTACAGCTTTTTATGGATACCTGCAGCATGTTTATGTTTTAGGGTTGGTTTTTGGCTTTTTAAAATTTCCCTTTTTAAAAAAAATTATTTATTTATTTTTAGGAATTATGGCTTTTATTATGTTTATGCCAAGCACCTAAATTATGTGTATGGCTTCAGTTTGTGCTATAATTCGAGCCTTCAATGTCCAACAGTTGTAATTTGAAGTTGTAATTTGAAGCCCCTACCTATGGCACTAAAAAGACATATCCCAGGAGTGGGGTCCAGAAGTAGGAATTTAGGCCACGAAACAATTGTTTTTATAGGAGATATAAGGACCCCAGCTCTGAAGTATGAGACCTGCACAGGCAAGGAAAAGTTCATTGGAAACCCTGATCCAAAATGAAGCTTTCACCTT